CCGTACTCCTGGCACTCGTCCACGTCTGTGCCAGCGGGGACAGCCGGGCGCTGCGGCCACCCGGCCCCGTGCCGCCCACCCCAGCGCCCGGCCGGGCGCCAGGCCCCACCTTGGTCCCCACGTTCTTCCAGGTCCTTTCCTGGTCCCCATGCCCATCCTGGTCCCCATGCCCATCCCGCTCCCAACCCTGGTCCCAGTCATTGTCCCCATCCTGGTTCCCATGCCCATCCTGGTCCCAACCCTGGTCCCAGTCCTTGTACCCATCCCGGTCCCCATCCCAGTCCTCATGCCCTTCCCAGTCCCCATCCCGGTCCCCATCCCAGTCCCCATCCCGGTCCCCATCTCGGTCCCCATCCCAGTCCCCATCCCAATCCCTGCTACACTCCCCATCCTGCTCCCCGCATGTTCCCGGCCGTGCTCCCCATCCCGATCCCCATCCCGGTCCCCGTGCCCATCCCAACCCCTATCCCGGTCCCAACCTTGGTCCCAGCCCTTCTCCCCATCCCAGTCCCCATCCCGGTCCCCATGCCCATCCCAGTCCCAACCCTGGTCCCCATGCCCATCCAGGTCCCCATCCCGATCCCCATCCCAGTCCCCATCCCGGTCCCCATCCTGCTCCCCGCGTGTTCCCGGCCCCGTTCCCCTTCCTGATCCCCATCCCGGTCGCCATGCCCATCCCAGTCCCAACTCTGGTCCCAGCCCTTCTCCCCATCCTGATCCCCATCCCGGTCCCCATGCCCATCCCAGTCCCAACCCTGGTCCCCATGCCCATCCAGGTCTCCATCCCGATCCCCATCCCAGTCCCCATTCCGGTCCCCATCCTGCTCCCGGCGTGTTCCCGGCCCCGTTCCCGGTCCCGCCCGGCGCGGGCGCCCGGCCGCGCTCACCGGCGCACTCCCCGCTGGCACCGGGCCGGTAGCCGGGCGGGCAGCGGGCGACGCAGCGGTAGGAGCCGGGGATGTTCTCGCAGCGCTGGGCGCCGCACAGCGCCGCGCCGTACTCCTGGCACTCGTCCACGTCTGCGGGACGCGGCGCCGTCTCGCGGGGCGCCCCGGTCCCCCCCGGCGCGCCGCGGCGGCGCCAGCCCCTCACCCTGGCACCGGGCCTGCTCGGCGCCCGTGCGGAAGCCGGCCGGGCAGCGGCACTCGAAGGAGCCCTCGGTGTTGGCGCAGCGGCCGCCCGCGCACACGTCGCCGCGCTCGCACTCGTCCACGTCTGCGGGAGGAGCCCGTGGCGGCACCGCCGGCCTTCCTCCGCACCGCCAGCCCCATCCTCATCCCCATCCAGATCTCCATTCCCATCCGGGTCTCCACCCTCATCCTCATTCCCACCCCAAGCCCGTCCCCATCCCACCCTCATCCTCATCCAGGTCTCCACCCTCATCCTCATTCCCACCCCAAACCCATCCCCATCCTCTTCCTCATCCCCATTCAGATCTCCACCCTCATCCTCACCTCCATCCCCAAACCCGTCCCCATCCCACCCTCATCCCCATCCAGATCTCCATCCTCATCCTCGCTTCCATCCCCAACCCACTCCTCATCCCTCATCCAACCCTCATCCTCATCCCCATCTCTCACCCTCATCCCCATCCTCATCCTCATCCCCATTTCTCACCCCCATCCCAATCTCCATCCCACCCTCATCCTCATCCCACCCTCATCCTCATCCCCATCCCACCCTCATCCTCATCCCTCCCTCATCCTCATCCCCCCCATCCCCATCCCA